AGATAGAGTTTTTAGTCATAGACAAAAATTTGATTAAATAAAGTATTAGCATGATTGCTGAAAAAAAAAAAAAAAAATAGTTATATTAAACAAATACTAAAAATTTGGAATAAAGTTCACAATATAAGTTATATATATTTAACTACCTAATAGTAATATTAAACGAATATTAAAGATTTGAAATAAAGTTTTTAATATAAATTATATATCACTTGTAAAATTTTTCTATTCACCAAATTGATAATTCTTGTGAATTTAGATAGTTAAAAAAAATCAAATTATCATTGCAAACTGGCTTATATTTCTTGAATAGTCTACAGAAACCTTATTAAATTTTACAAGACATACACAATTTCTTTTCAAAGTAACAGTTCAATAAATAAAATAAAAATTATAAGTTTAATAAAAAAAAACAAAAACATATTCAAATGCAATATTCTCATATCAATAACTAGTTACAATTATAATAATCATTCTGTTTTAAAAAAGTCTCAATTAGCTGCTGAATTTTGATATAAAATCTATCTTTTTAAATTTTAATTCTGTTAAGATAACAATATCTAATATTGTATATTCTATCTGCATCTTCTAGTATTGCTAATTTTTCAATAATAAATAAATATCTTATGTTGATTCTCCTACTTATGCCAAATATTTAAACTATTACTCAAGTGCAAACAACTATCTGAATACAGTATTAATAAAATTTAAGACATAAGAAATCTTAAATACACCTCAAAAAAATACTAAAACAATGATTACTTGAATAAAAAAAATAAATATGATCAAGAATTCTATATTCTGAACTCTTAGTATAACATAATATGTAGTTAAATAATTTGAATAAAATTAAAAAATATATATATATATATATAAATATACTATTAATACTCTTGCTATTATATATATATTATAAGTCTAATATATATAATTACAAACCTTTGAAATAGTCTACCTCTAACAAAAATATCTGATCAATTGTTTGAAGTTAATAATGAAAATAATATATCATTTGAATATGAAAGAATAAATAATTTTGAACATAACTTTGATGACAATTATAATATTTTTAGTGATGAAAATGATAATTATGATAAAACCAATAATCATACTGATAATAAAGAGAGAAATACTATTAATTTTTTACCTATTACCTCTTATTTTTCCCTAATATCTCCAACTGAAACTTCAAAAAAAAAAGCTAAAACTAATGTAATATTTAAAAAAAGAAACAAGTCATCTAGTCCTAGTTAAATATGGAAATATACTTATTAAGATAAATTAACTAGAGTCAAATACTATACAGTTCATATAGATAATAAAAATAGTACTAGTAAATAGTATAAAAAAGTATTTTAGCCAAAAACATCAACAACTAATATAGCTGCACATTTATATACTAAGCATCAAATTTTTAAAATCTAAAAATATAATATATCTTCTATAACAATCAACCAACAATTGAAACAATCATACAAAAACAGATAGAAAACACTTTGCTTCTTTCTGAAAAACAATAAAATCATATTTCTTATTAGCTTGTTTTTTTTTTTTTTTTTTTTATTAAGGCCACTTTCTTGACCGATTAGATTTTTATTAGTTTGTTATTTTTTTTTTTTTAAACTTAGGTGATCTTGCCCTTCATTTTATTAAGAGACATACTAAATAAGTATAAAGACAAATACATAAAATTAAGAC